GTGCTATTTGCTTTGCTTCTTTCATCCTACAAGACTTTCCTTTAAATAGTTCTTCCATTATATTTTCTCCAGCTTTACTTTTAGTCATATTGCTGAACGTGTACTTCCCTGTTGTCAATAGGAGATTTCCTCCATGTCAGAATTTATCTTCCTCACAGGCGTGAGGCCTGCCTTCCAGTCTCTGTTGCCATGGGGTGTCTGTCTAAACTGAAAGGGAACAAACAAACGATGATTTTTTCTTAAACCAAATTCTCATGTAATTGTTTTATTTGAACATCTGTAATTTCTCTCTAGTGCGCCAGAGTGTACAATTGTCCATCATTGGACTTGTGAAGTAAATTAGTACAGAGGGTAGATAGTTTTATCTCATTATCCTAGTGGTAATAGTCATGAACCTCCATGCCTCCTTACGGATTCAACTTCCCCTCTCTGCACCTCTGTGCTTCCTTTTTCGAAGCAGCAATTTTGACTTGGCTCAAACCTATTTGGTTTCGATTGCTCACTTTGAACTCACAATCATGTTTAGTACTCATTATGATGTTTAATTTGCAGTATTTAATATATGCCATTGTTTATATTTGAGATGAATTATAGGGGATTGATTTTTTATTCAAGGAAAGCATGCTTGTAACATGGGTTCTTTCTGGTTTTTGGACAATTGTGCGCTTAGGTTGTGTTTTATGATAAATATAGTAGTGATTTACTTATGAGATTAGGTTGAATTATGGACCTGGTGGCCATAGGTGATCCTCTTCTTTGTCATTCAGTATGAAATCGTCTCAAATGTAAATGAAGGTGTTGTCAATCTCCTTGAGGGGGCATTTGGCAAGCCGAAAGTGAATTGAAAGTGTGAAAGTCAGACATTTTTGCAAGTGTGAAAGTTTAGGCACGTCAAGCATGCAAGTGAAATACAGTGCTTTTTTGCAAAAACAAATTATTGTGTAAAGAAGCGAAGATGATGCGGCAAATCATTTTATTTGTTTATCTGAATCATGCAAGCATCACTAACAAAATTAAATAAATTTAGTATTGTAGTGTGGAGTTGTCACCACTTCTCACTTTCATGACAACTTCACACTTTCTTAGAAGAAGCCAAATGCATTCAAGCTGAAGTAGACCACTTTTTTCACTACACTTTCACAATCACTTTCAATAAAACAAACACCTGAAGTGCTGAAAGTGAGGCACTTGCACACTTTCATTTTTCACTTTCATGCAAACAAACATCCCCTGCGATCAGCCTCAATTTTATTGAAAACTGTTGGCTAGTCTTTTTGAACTTTTTCCTGCCTATGATCGTTTAACAAATTATGGGCTCCTTTTTCTATAGGATATTTAAACAAACGCCTATGCTTACATATCTGTAACTATAGACAGTATTCTGTTACTTAAGAAGCAGAAGGCATTGGAAGTATTTGCCTATGTTCATAACATCAGTATGCTAGGATACTTAAAATTTAGCTTCTTCTCAGTGATATGCTGGTTTTTTTGATTGTCCTTTATTAAATGTAGGTCCTCGAGACTGCTGATGATTTGGGAGAGGTTACAGAAAGTGTTGGCTATTATGTTCAAGGCAGTACAATAGCTGCAGGAAACTTATTTGGAAGGTAACACATTCTTCTAATAAATGCAGAGTTCAGTTTAATAATTTATTTTATGATATCTGGCTTTAATGACGTAAATTACTACCTGTACATATTTTGCTGTTCATAGCAAATTTTAGATCGAGATATGGATAATGTACTCCACAATATAAGACTATTATACTGGGTCTTCACGTAATAACTAATTAACTATGAAAAGGCGCTCAACTACTGCTTTTAGCATATGAAAGACTGATACTGCTAGTGCACCAGAAAGTGAGGCTTCTAGTGCTATTTAGAAAGCTTGAATGGACTATTGCCTATATGAATGTACTGAAATTGCACAGTGAAATGGCATGCGTTAATTTTAAGTAGAACTATGAATGACTAACTGGGTATCTTTTAACTATGCTTACCATGTGTTAGACACTGAACTGGTTACCCTTTCGCCAACTGAACTGCTTGCTTCACTGCATAATTGCATATCTGCCTCAATTTGTTCGCAATTTAGTACAGATATCCTGCATGGCTGCATCTTATATCTAAATTTGTGGATTCATAATTTGTCATTTCGAAGTACTACTTACACTTCATTGGTGGTATATGTAAGGTCCAAATTATTGACGGATATACTTGTCCACCCTATTGTCCAGTATTTTAAACTTGTCAACATGATTCAACCAAAATCAACCTATATCAATGACACTGGCTAATAAGACCTAGTAGTGGTTGATATTGGTTAGTACTGGCCAATACTGATATCTTAGATTTGTAGTAATAGAAATTATTTGACAGTGTTGTATCGAGTCGAATACCAAGGTAAAAAGTAGAAAGCTTGTGAATTATCATAACTGTCAAAACTCCAGATACCCACATCAGATGCTTGCTATCTAAAACTTTTGAAACTCTCCAAAACTTCCCAACTGATATTATAAATCGTCAGCAGATAATGATACTAATATTGAGATTGCATATCTTGTTATCTGATGAACCTGATGTGGTGTCTAAAGAGGCACAACTTGTCTGGAAGATCAATGGGGGTTTAGTGTCCCCAAATGTGAACCAGTAGGAATGTTTTAAAGTCAGATTGAGAAATGGTCCCTCGTATATTATAATCATGCTTACGCTGGGAACTTGTGTTTTCTGCAAGCAGTATCTAGGTTCATAATGCAACATATCCATTTATACTGGTATACCTGCATGGAAACAGGATCTTTAGTTGTCAGTTCTATTTGGATAGCTTATTTTTAAAGTAACCCCCAATGTTGTTTTGTCATTACAAAGCCCCCTGCTGTTTAAAAAACTCTCAATACCCTTTTAGTTTATGCATATTTTCCTCAAATACCCCTCAACAATGCTACTCTTCTTCCTTAGAATAGAAAATAGAAAACAACAATTAAGTTGAAGAAACAGGGCTCTACCACTTGATTAGGTCCCTAGAGGATCCTTAAATCAATGTCCAAAACATATACGACTGCTCCTAAGTCCTAAGACTCTTTGTACTGGAGAAGGACGATTTCTCTCCAGTTGTTTGAGATTCATTCAATCAATGAATGGATTAATTTATCTTACCCCCCAACTTTTTAAAATCAACTTCTGTTGCATAAAAGCACCGTGTTAGATTATCTCTCTTCAGTTGCAAGACCTCATCCCCACTCTCTTCACACAAACCCAAGCAACAATAACTGTTGCCAGGGAAAAAATTAGTCAAAGATCAAGGTAATCTCTCGAACCCTTTGATATTAGTCTCTACTTTGTATATTTTCAGTTTTTTTTGTCGATCTTGTAGAGAAAGCTGAAATGTAAGAGGATAGTTTCGGAATATAAATATGTTTTAATAGTTTTTTCAACAGAAGGGTTTGTAGTGAAATATAATGTTAGGGGGGTTTCCTAGTAAGTGATCAAACTTGAAGGGGGTTTCAAATAATTGCCTAAGTTATTTCCATCTCCTTTGAAGAGTACATAAAAGAATCTCTCATCTTTTTATTCTTTGGGAGCATGAATAACTGAAAACAATAGGATGGGATATTAGGTATCTGGTGAGGCCCCGTCAAACTTTGTGGATGGCTTTTGCACGCCTCTGCTTCTTAAGCAGCATTCATTCACATTGAAGTTAATGCTGCAAGAATGCTGCAAGAGAATGCTGGTTTCTTTCTATTTTCTTTCTGCAGTTTCCACTAATCTCAAATCATAAACACAGATCCGTTAACTTGTTGATCTTCCTTTATTGTTTGCGACAAAAGTCAATTACTAATATATCTAAATCTATAAAAGGGTAAATTTCAGAAAACCTCACTTAGCTTTGGGTGTTTCTCAGATAAACCCCTTAGCTTTTAAAATGTCACAAAACCCCCTTAAGTTTTGGGGTTCTCGGAAGACCGCCTTCAACTTCAACATTTTTTCAAAAAAACCCTAAAAGCATGAACCACAAATTCACTAGTGAAAAGTCCCCTAACATTGTGGTTAATGCCGGTAGTTCTTTTTTTTTAATAATGTTGAAAGTTAGAGGGGGTTTTCTACAGAACTCCAACACTTGAGGGGGGTTTTGCGTCATTTTGGAAGTTAAGCGGGCTTATCTGAGACACGCTCCAAGGTAAGGGAGGTGTTCTGAAATGTACGCAGTTATAAAATCTTAGTTTGTTAAGTTCCTTTAGCATATGAACTGGGTCTCAGGACCAAGTACTTTGCAAATTTCAGGCCTGCTATCCTAAAACTCTTATCAAATGGTTTTCAGGTGCGAGTGCACTCACTATCAATTTGTAAAAGTAATAAACAGAAACAATCTTTTTTTCGAGAAAATGCTTGTATAACTTACATGGTACCTCAAGAAACACCCTTAGTCCAAAATTTTGGGCTAATCTTTTTTTCCCATTAAGCTCTTGTTACTTGTTAGTGTCATGTTCTTGGCTAATTTGCTGACTGTATTAATCATTTGAACTTCATTGACCCACATTTGTGCGGTGTATGGCTGGTCCTTGTCGCCCCATAATTCTAGTCCTGTTTATCATTTGGAAAACAACTTATCTTGCCACTCTTCCTAACTACTGGAGTTTTTCGTTGAGCATATGTCGAAACCATCTCAGTTAGTTTTCAAGGGAGCTATCTCTAATTTTTATAGTTGCATGTTTTTTCTTATTTTGTCTTTTTGTGCTTCCATGGGTAAATTGTTGATGATGAGTTGAAATGAGGATCTTCTCTGTGCTTTAATACCATGTTGTAACCACTTCATGTAAAAGTTTAAATTTCGGTAATATGGTGTTTAAGTGTCCGGGTAACTGGTGTTTAAGTGTCCAGGTAACTGGTGTTTAAGTGTCTGGGTAACATGGTGTTTAATGTATCCTTGTAACTTTTATCATAATTTGGAGTTCTCCTACAGTAGCACGTGCTGGAGATGGTCCAAATGTAATTCAATTGAAGTAAATTTGAAGGAAAAAAAGAGAAGAATACTATCCAAAAAACGAGGGTTTCAACTCTAGATAGGATGTTAAACATGTGAACTGTTAGAACATAAAATATATCTGTAAATTCTCATCATGGTATTACCCATAGTTTTAAAAAGTAGTCTAGGCATCTGCCTAGACTGCCGCCTAGACCTAGGCAGTAATTAGGCCACCCGCCTAGATCTTGGGAGCGCCTAAGGGAGCATGAGGTCGTTAAGCAGAGTGTAAAGCTTACTTTGTCATCTAATTTCCTCAACTACCGCCATGTCCTTCAACCTCCCTGGCCTCCTCCATGGACTTTAAACATCTTCTCCACCTCCTCTAACCTTACAGAAAAATTTCCTTCACCTCCAGTTAAAAGAAAAAAGAAATCCATCTAGGCGGCCGCCTGGGCGCTAGGTGGTGGGTTGGAGTCTTGGAGCCTAGTGGCGCCTAGCGGTTTCTGTAACATTGGCATTACCATTTTTATATAGAACCAGGTGCCTTAAGAGGATCGCTAAAACTAACAGGAATCATACAATCTATCTATGACTAAAAGAGAGCTCTTGAGGTTTGACAGATGTCACAGTAGATCACTCTTGAGCACGGTTCAAAATCTTAATATAAGTAATGGTACTAAGTTTCAGCAGTTCAGATTGAAGTATTGATTTCTAAGTATCATGAGGGTTAAACAGGTAAAATATTTTTTTTAATCTTAAAAAAAGTAAGGACGATTAGCTAGGCTTAGCATGCGTTCTGCAACAATTTGTGACATTTATACCAGGCTTTGATGAAAACTTATATTGCAGTACACAGGTATAACTGATGTTGTAGCAATTTTAGAATATATATAAGATTACATTAGTAGTCATCCATTATTGAATGTGGAATATTTTTTTTTTACAAAATCATTTACTTAGTGTTATAATGATGGGATGCTTCTAATTTTGTGCAACACATAATTATTTTCTCTTTTCTTTATGTTGTATTATATTATTGTGTAGCTGGATTTTTTTCATTGTTTTTCTTCATTTTAACCTCGGTGTGATAGTTTCATGTGTAGATTGTGGATATTTGATCTAATAAGCTTATGTGTATTATTAGTAAATTAGCCGAGAATTAGCTATGCCTAAATTATCCTTTTTGTATGTGTTTCCAGGCGTCGAGTTGTCCAGATTTTTGCACGTGGTGCTCGTATTCTTGATGGCTCTTATATGACACAGGAGTTGAGTTTCGCCATGAATAATTCTGAATCAGCTTCATCAGCTTCTAATTCAGAGCCTTCAACAGTATCATCTGTTTCTATAGCCGATCCCTATGTCTTACTGAAAATGACTGATGGGAGCATTCAATTGCTCGCCGGAGGTATTATCAATTATAGTTCTCTTATGTCTGTAGCTTTCGTAAATGAGTCATTTCAGAATTTGTAGTGTGCTATTGGTAGTTCTCTTATGTTTTCTCCATTTCTTTTTGAAACTGCATTTTTCATGTTCCTATTATCCTAATCAAGAAAATGAAAGACGGGAGGTTTTTTTGGGGGTTGGAACTTGTTTTTTTTTTTTTTGTGGGGGGGCGGGGGGGTCGCACATTGGTGATCCTACTGTCCTACCAGAAATAAATGGGATTGTATTGGTTGGTATAGTCAAGTATAGGGAATTCTGCTTACGTTCATTGTCAGCCACGCTTTACATGTTCTCTGGTCCATTTACATGCTTCCAAGGTTTGAAGTGTAGGGCGGAACCAGTATTACATCAGTTCATACTGGATTTTACTCGTGTTGATATGATCCAACTGGTTAAAGGTCCATTCTGCTACACCAAAACTTAGAATTTGTGGTTAGGGTCAAGGGTCATAGTTTTATACTCTTAACACAACCAAAACACCTATACAACTGATACTGCCCAAGCACAAGTAATATCGGCTGACATTGGTTAATAGCAAAGTAATATAGAACAAGGTTTGAGGTTTGAAATATCAAAAACGGGTTACTTAGTGTTTTATTGTGAAACATGAAAGAGGAAAAGAATGAGTAGAAAACTTGAAACTAAGCTCTGATATCATCTAGATAGTAATAATTCTGAAATGAGATTGTCAAATTCCTGTATAATGATATCAATAAAGACGAGGAAACTACAATCAATACCACAATTTCAAATCTTATGTGCTACAGCTTGCAACCTCACATTTACTGATGAATAGAGAAAAGTAAATAAAAACCTTCTTTTCCCTTTTTTAAAGATTTTACTGGGGATATGGGCGTCAACGTGCGTACGTGTGTGATTGTGTGTGTGTGTGTGTGTGTTGTGGGTAATGGGATCATGGTGGATTGTCCTTTCTTTTCTCTGATATGGCTTCTAGATAATGATGAGAACACTGACAGCTTCTCGTATATAATGACTGAAAATGTATAAGTAATCGTTTGTGGTTCATGATTCAGTAATTTTATTAAGTCATCAATTGCATCAATGATATATCTTAGAACGGTGACTTGGCTTTGGTGATATTTACATCACTGGGCCACCTAGGTTCTTTATTTAAAATTTGGCATTCTCAGTCACTATTTACTCTGAGGTAACTGAATTTTGTGAGCGATCTCATTTTGGAAAAGAAGAAAGAAGGATAGAATGAAAGATAGAATGAAAGGTTCACTATACATCACGCAAATTCACAATTTTAACCTTTACATTAATAGTTTAAGGATTTCTGCAGATAATGAACCTCCAGTACTTGACTAAAAGCTGTGGAATTGCACAAGGAGTAAAGAGCTAATAAATTTTCCATTTCTTTGTTTGCGCTGATGATCATTTCTATCCTTTTGGATTTACCTTTTCATTCTATAGCGTGTCTTATACTAGTTAGCGCTTGCCTGATGTTGTAGATTAAGCATCTGAAATACGAACTTTTCTGAGTCTTTTGTTTAAATTGAATTACGTAAGCAAATCTTTATTTGGATCTCATCTTCATGTCTATCTTCACCTTTGTTGTTCAAACGTAACCTTAATTTTAGTTTATTTTGTTAGCATCTTGATTGACTAAAAGTCGTGTTGTGATGTAGTGTAGGCTATTTCACTACTATGGGGAGTCCTCTGTTACCCAATGTTATTAAGTTTCTTAATAGGTAGCATTCAACGTGGCCATGCTCAGATTCATTTTGATAAACAACACCAAGATTTCTTGCATATTTTTCTTAAACTTTAGCTGACCATGACAGGTCTCCTAAATTAATGGCATAAATGAACTACAGAAGCCTCAATTCGTTGTTGCCCAGAATGCATATTTGATGCTTCTAGGTTAATCTAAAGACTAGGTCATGCAGATGTCTAAACAGAGCCCCCTATTGAAAAGTGGATTAGGGATCCTTTGAAATCATTTTTCTTTAGCTTTAATTGCATCAATTACGTGCTGAACTTGTGCATTTGAAGATGTTCACTGGTCTAGAGCTGTTGAGTATATTTAATATAGTGTCAACTCTATATATTGATAAAAATCATACACATACAAATTTGATGAAATTACTTTGTATCAGCCACATCATGTATTCTTATAAAAATATTTTCTTTTCTGTTTCTGCTAGTTTTCCAACTAAAGATAATTTGGGAAAAGGCTTTGCTTTGGCTATTTGGTTATTGTCTAGTGACTTAATGCTCTACTATTCATTTTTCTCTGGGAAACATATCAAAATGCAAAAGGGAATGATCCTTTCATAATCTAAAAGTTTAACTTATTGACGAGCTTCTTTGAGTTGGTTTAGAAGAGAAGCAATGGTCAATAGAGCATAAATATTTACTTGGGAAGAAACAGGTTGGTAATAAGTTGTCGGCAAATGAAATCATACGCTGCACTTCCCGTTTTAGATTTATCCTTGAAATCCAATTAGCCAGCTAGAGTTCTTCAAGGACAGCAGCTACAGTCTTTAAATCCAATTAGCCAGCTGGAGTTCTTCTAATTGTTTGCATCAGCTACACCTTTCCCACTTGTAGGCAAAAGTGTTTGCTAATTCTGTGGTACATTGGCACAGTAAGCTGCCACAATATAAAAGGTTAAGAGGATGGTAAAAGAGAGGGAGAATGGAGATTGCTACTTGCAAGTAATCAGCCTTTCATACGATCTTTATTTGATTTTTGTGTATAATTTTCTTTTGGATTGAATCCTAAGATTTCTGACTCATTAGGATTGCTTTTCATCTCAAATCAGCCATATGAATCTCTTTATTGGGCTTGACATGAGAGCGGCCACCTATCCATTGAACCATTCATGTGCTAGTACTAGATGTCATTCGGAGATCTGATTATCTAGGAATTGCAGCCAATTAAAATTTGTTTACTGGCCATAAAAACGATTTATAAGCATGGTTACTTATTTATGGTCTCTCCTGCATACATACAATGTATTCTATGTATTCACGATATCATAGGCAACTATCTTCAAGAATTACGTTTCATTACTTATGGTATTCCGAACGTGGCTAGTTTAGCTAGGTGCAGTGCCGGATGATATTATTTTGGTAAAAATATTTTTTTAGAAAGTACTATTTCTTATCCATTTTCTAGTTATGAACACTGCTTTTTCCACCTTTTTGCAGACATTTAATTTTCAGAACTTGTTTTTGCAGACACATCCACCTGTACAGTCTCTGTTAATGTCCCAGCTAGGTTTGCGAGTTTAACAGACCCTATTTCTGCCTGTACCCTTTATCATGATAAAGGACCTGAACCATGGCTCCGCAAGGCAAGTAGCGACGCATGGCTTTCTACTGGAATTGCTGAGGCAATTGATGGAAGTGATGGATCATATCCCGATCAGGGTGACATATATTGTCTGGTTTGCTATGAAAGCGGAATACTTGAAATATTCGATGTGCCAAATTTTAGATCTGTTTTTTCTGTAGATAAATTCATGTCTGGCAAGTCCCATCTTATGGATATGTGTATTGTTCCTCAAAAAACAAAACCCAGGAATTTTGAAGAGACAATAAAAAAGGAACCTACACAAAACTTGAAGGTCATGGAATTGGTTATGCAAAGATGGTCTGGTCAGTATAGTAGACCATTTCTTTTTGCGATACTGAATGATGGGACAATGCTTTCTTATCATGCTTATCTATACGAGGGCCAGGAAAATGCACCAAAAGCCGAAGACGCACTGTCCCCACATAGTTCAAGTAATATGAACAGTACTGGCACATCAAGAATGAGAAATCTGAGGTTTCAACGTGTTTCTATAGACACTAATATACAAGAAGATTCATCGAATGTTACTGTACGTCCAAGAATTACAATATTTAAGAACGTTGGCGGCTATCAGGGTTTATTTCTTACAGGGTCAAGACCAGCTTGGTTTATGCTCTGCAGAGAACGACTTAGAGTGCATCCACAGGCATGCATACTCTACTCTTTTCTTTTCCTGTCACTTTCCAATGTAGAAATGAAATGACCATTCATTTAATTTTTGTTTCTTTTGCAGCTTTGTGACGGCTCAATCGTTGCCTTTACTGTTCTGCACAATGTAAATTGTAATCATGGACTGATATATGTCACATCACAGGTATTATTTGCTTTAACATCATTTCTTGGAGGACCATCTGGCTTATTTCCTCTGGAACTCTTCATACATAGATTGACACAAAAAATTTCTGCTTTAGGGTTATTTGAAAATATGCCAATTGCCATCTGCATGCAACTATGATAACTACTGGCCAGTTCAGAAGGTGGGTTTTGCTATTTTCTTCTCCATCTATTATTTGAATATTTACCTTAAAATTTATAAGTTTTAGGGAAAATTTATGTTTACTTTCATTTCATTACAGATTCCGTTGAGGGGAACACCGCATCAAGTCACCTATTTTGCGGAAAAGAGCCTGTATCCAGTCATAGTTTCAGTTCCTGTAAGTAGTTCTGTACTTGATAGCTAGTGAGCGTATGAAGGTTATGAAGGAAGTCTTTTTCACAGTTTTTTTAAACTATTGAAGAGGGGAAAACTGTTGGAGAGTTGGTGATACAATAAGCTTCTCTTATTAGGTGTCTCCAGTCTCAAAAGACAAAATCGTCTTTTTTATTTGGATGCATGTTTGATGTTTCTTAATCATGATGGTGTGACATAACTTTTTCTAGATACAATTACTTGCATTCTTATTATTATAAAGTGATTCTTTCTGTTATTTTTAGTCATAAAAAATTCTGAAGAATGTTTTTGTAAATCTATTTCAAATATTATGCATGTATATGTTGTAAGTTTCCATGTCTAACCCTTCAATATACGTAGACACGTGCTGATAACACTTCATGAGCACATGATTTCGGTTGATTGTCCTGTTGAGATCATCTGATCATACAGACATATGACCCCGCATACACACTTCTGAACTTGATCATCTGTGTTTTTTTTAATTCTGATGGTCATGATGCACAAGTAAAGTTGAAGATAATATAACTATTATTATGATTCATGATGGAGTGGTAAATAGGGTAACTGAAACTAACGGAAGGAATGAAATGGTCGAAGAATTCTTCTTAAGGTTGTAAGTTGTAACTCGATACTTACAAGAGAGAATACTTGCAAGAGAAAAGGGAGTAGGATTTTAATGATTAAATGAGAACTCCTTACGGTTTCCTTTATTGCTTCTTAAGAAAATCTTGGAGTTTTAGTTACAACCATCATTAATTTCTATATGGTACTTCTCACCAACTAGGATTCTGCTTGGACCTAATTCTTAGGGAATCTTCACAATAGTACTCAATTAAGCCTCCAAAATATAATCTTTTAGTTGCGTACTCTTGCTGACCACTTTTCCCTGTTAATTTAGTCTTAATAGCCAATTAAAAAAAATTCAGAGAGATCAGAAAGCTGAAGTACTGTCTTACTTCGGCAGAATTCAAAGATTGTGGTCTACCCAACTGACTTGAACAGGCTGCTAAATTGAGCTAGAGAGTTCTCTCTATTTGAGATGAAATCCCAGTCTAGCAAACCGACTTGAACAGTCTGCTACTTAAAAGGGATGGATGGTTTTTCTCTTTTGGTTTTCAGAACCTGCCCTTCTGTCATAGGATGCAAACTCCTAAATTACTGCTACAGTTATCTGGTTTGGCTGAACTCAGAACTTTCTACTAACTTCTCTTCCAAGTTGCCATGCAACAGGTCTTCTATCTCTTTTCCCTTAGCCTTCATTGAAAGTGGGTGTGCGAGGAGAGGACTCACCTGGATGTTTTAGATCCTTATGCATTACCTATGACCAGACAGGACGAGAACATTTTCCTTTTTTTACTCGTCTTTTTTCTTTTTCTTTACTTTTATTTTCTTTGAGCCAGTTTTCCTTGAGATTTTGTTAAACAATGCTGCCCTGGTCTTATAATTTGCTCCTTGGTATACCGTATACATCTGATTGGAGATTTGCAGGTTGTCAGACCCCTTAGTCAAGTGTTATCTTCATTAGTTGATCAAGATAGTGGCAATCAGATGGACCAGGACACAGTAAGTTCTGATGGTCTACAGAACAATTATTGTATAGATGAATTTGAGGTGCGAATTTTTGAACCTGAGAAGTCCGGAGGACATTGGGAACCAAAAGCTACAATTCCAATGCAAACTTCTGAAAATGCTCTCACTGTGAGAATGGTCACGCTGCTTGTAAGTTCATCTTATTATAAATGTAATTCCTTAATTTATTATCAGTTTCTACGTGAATATACCCATATATGATCACATTGCTCTGGTATCCATAGAATTCAACAACAAAGGAAAATGAAAGCCTTTTGGCCATCGGAACAGCTTATGTTCAAGGAGAGGATATAGCTGCTAGAGGAAGAGTTCTTCTGTTTTCTATTGGCAGAAATAGTGAGAATCTCCAAAATCTGGTATGGTAAACAAATTCTACTCGTTCAATTTTCATTTGTCCTTGCCGCTAGCTTATTTTTTTATTCAAATTGCTAACATGCTCTTGCTTTTTCCCCGCTAAACAGGTATCAGAGGTTTACTCTAAAGAACTAAAGGGTGCTATCTCAGCTTTAGCATCTCTTCAGGGTCACTTGCTGATTGCATCTGGACCAAAAATAATCCTGCACAAGTGGACAGGTTCAGAGTTGGTTGGTGTTGCCTTTTACGATGCTCCTTTGCATGTCGTGAGCTTGAATATAGTGCGTACATTATTGCAACCTATTACCTCCCAGATTTTTCCTGTTCAGTTTTTGCACACGTACTGATATTATTTCACAGGATCCCCGGGAAATATGTCCCTTGGCTTGTTTGTAATTCCTAACTACTGATTACAAGAAATACCAATTTTTTTGTCTTTGGAGTTTTATCTTCTATGAGTTTTTCTGGTAGTGACAATCATAACTTCTAAGAACATAAGATTTTAATACAGCCATTTGATATTTGTATAAGAATGCAACTAACTGGCCTGCTGTCAATTAATGCAAAACACACAACATATCGTGGTACAAGTAAAAAATTAATTATATCATATGGATGATGTACCTCATTTGTGAATTGTGATTACACGTGCCGTGTAACATGTCAATTGACGCCCCACTTATTAGCAGAGTTTGCAGAAGTTAGTGCCAACTTTTGCAAAACACTTCCCGAACTTCTTTTGTCAAGGGGAAACAGGCATTTTCAAATAGTTTTCCCCAAAAACTTCCTGCTTTTCATGAAAGAGAGGGAGAACAGACTCCACAGTTTTGTGGAAGTTATCTAACTCTTGATTAGAGTAACTTCACCCTTACTGCATCTGCATTGAAAGAAGGGAAAGTCTACTTCCTGCGTTTGTACCTATGACGAGGCCTTACATGTCTTCTCCTTTAGAATACTTACAAGTTACAATAGTCTGTTAGTTTATTAGTTATAATTTTCTCTTGCATTCTCAAGTTGCTTACATTTGTTAATTTGCTTTTAATGATTTGTTAATGGTACCCTTTTATTTTTTAGGTTAAAAATTTTATCCTTTTGGGTGATATTCACAAAAGTATATACTTCCTCAACTGGAAAGAACAAGGTGCTCAATTAAGTTTGTTGGCCAAAGATTTTGGCTCGCTAGACTGTTTTGCAACAGAGTTTTTGATCGACGGAAGTACACTTAGCCTGGTTGTTTCAGATGATCAGAAGAATATCCAGGTAGAGTTCTGGAAATTTGTGTTGTTGCATCTTTAGCTGTGTATTCTGTTATAAATCCATTAATTGTACTTCACACCTTATCTGTTGAAAGTGTTTCTCATTTAGAAAGGTTTATGCACCTTCAATTTCTTCCGACCTTTCTACTGGAAGGCAAATGAAGATTCAATTTCTTTCAGCGTAACTTTAGAATCATTCTCTACAAATATGAACCTTGAGATAAGGCATCGTCATCATTGTTGCCATGATTTTAGCCTTTTCTGGGTTAGGTACAGAGGACAACTTTAACATAAGAAGGTTACTCTGGAAGATTGGCCAAAACTCAGGAGTTTCTTTGGCCTTGATATTGAGTATCACCTCAGAAGCATAGGTGGCAGCATGAATAGGGTTGGATAAAATCTGACTGTGTCCTTAGTTTGGTGATCATGGATATGCACATATATTGCAGAACTACTCATAGGTATTACTTCCAACTTCCAAGACATTTGAGTCTGGAAGCATATACTGACATGGAAGATCTTGAAGATATCTGAATTTACGTTTTATGGAGACTCCAATCCACCTTTGTATTGAGTATAATAGCATGTATATGAATATTTATCCTTTCAAGTTTTTCACCAATAGTTGTCCATTTGCTGTTGCCCTGGACAGATTCTTACTGTCACATGTTTCATAATTTTTCATACCAGACAACTGTGGTTCTTCTCTTACGTTAATATTCTAAAATACATGCTTTTTCTAATGTTTGGTTTGGTGTTTGTAGACATAATATACTTACATGTTTTGTATATAGATAATCATTATCCATATTCAGAGCAGTATTCCATAAATTAAAGTGCATACAGATATGCATAAACCCTCTGCATAAACATGACAGTATCATGAAGCTGTACTTGTGTTGGATGCGTGGAAACATGTCCCAGACCCCAACACTTATTCGGCCCTTTGGCTTCAATGATTCATGCAAATTATATTTTTCAACTTTTGGATGCATGGGTATGTCAACATGTATATGTAAATATGCACTTTCATGTTCCTTGTTTTATATATATTCTAGCATCTTATTTTTGTGTCCTCGTTTACACTTTAATCAAACTGACAGTCGCCTGTCCATTTTTTCGTGTCATTATAATTGCTTTGTTTTGAGCCCTTCATGTGGAATGTATACATAGATATGACAGTCTTTAGAAATTCAGATTTACTCTGTTATTCGGCATATAAAATTATTACAAAAATCAGCAGTCTTAAACATTACTGCTTCAATTATGGACAGCGTTCCCACACTTCTGTTATTGCATTATTAGCAATTATATTGTTCAACTTTTTGGATGCACAGATATGTCAGCGTGTATATGTAAATATGCACTTTCATCTTCCTTGTTTTATATAAATTCTGGTATCTTGTTGTGTCCTCGTTTACTCTTTAGGAAACTGACGGTTGTCCGTCCATGTCATTGCTTCTTAAAATGAACCCGTCCCCATCATAATCAATTTGTTTTGAGCCCGGCGTGTGGAATATATACGTAGATATGACAGTCTTTAGAACTTATCAGATTTTTTCTGTTATTCAGCATATAAAAATTATTATGAAAATTAGCGACCTTAAACATCACTGCTTCAAATATGCACAGCATTCTCACTTTTCTACAACAATGACTTCAAATTCAAGCTCATCAATGCTAGGAGTTTGAAATTTCTAGAATATGAGCATCCTGAAATGAGTTGAAAGCATAACCAGATATCTCCTTTTGTCTTCCATTATATGGTGGACATTCCTTAAAAAAGATTGAGGTAGGTAGGTATTTAGAAGCATTAATCTTCTGCACGTTCTGCCGTCATTGTCTTTGTGTTCACAGTAGTGATAAGGGAGTAGATTCTTGATTTTCACTTCTTATCAATTAGTGGGAGAGAGAACTTGCCGGTAGAAGTAAGCCAAGATTGCAAAGTGGGTATGGACGATCCTATAAACCCCACCAAGGTCTCAGCAAGCTCTAGGCAGCCTAGGCGGTTTTCCTTTTTTTTTTTAATTATAATAATTGATAATAAGCGCGTTAAATTCATAGATAACTGTAAATTAAAGTACATTTATATTAACTTAAACAATTCTAAAGAATCTAAGCTACCAATGAACGACATTAGTTTAATCAATTAAACTAACTTAGTTAACTGAACACAATACAATGAACTCAGTTACTTAGACCACATTACTACAAATCAATGAACTTAGTTACTTAACTAAACTTAATTAAACACAATTACAAGTTTACAACACTTAATCACTTATTTAAAGCTATTAAAGTAACTTAGTTCTTAATTTAACAGAAGTTAACACTAATTCTTAACATAAGTTCTTAATTAGCTAAACAATAAAATTACAACAAAATTGAACAAAATGAAACTAAACTCAAGTAAATTAAACTAAAATAAAAACCCTAATTAGGGACAAATCAACATTAAGCCCTATTAACAAATGTTGCAAATCAGTAAACTAAACCCTAATTAGTATTTCATAGACAAAGAGAATGAGAGGACAGAAAAAAGAAAAGAAAATAAAGACAAGAAAGAAAGAAAAAATATTAAAAAAAAAAGCAGAAGTCACTGGACTTACCTGACCTTCGGAGGCGGAGGGCTACGAAGGGCAGAGGAGGGCGATGTGAGGTAGGTGGAGACTGAGGCGCAAGATGAGAGAGGGTTGGAGGCAGAGTTGGGATTTTTTTCTGTTTTAGAGGAGTTTTAAGTTGGGTCAGGTTAGGGCTTGAGCCAGGTTTTTCCATTTTGTAGGATTAAAATCGACTAGAACGAGTGCATGGGCAACATTCAAGCAGCTATCTTGTAGCCTACGCCTAGGCAAGCGCAACATTGAACCCCAAACAAGCTGTCTAAATATTTGAAAATAAAACCGTGTTTTAGAGTCATGACCTGCAAACATGTGTGAAGCCATTGAGAAGTTTTACATGATCAGGTATTAATAGCCATTGCTCGTTGAGATTAGGTCGTTAGGTGAATATTATTGGGATGCTTTATGGTTTTATGGAGAGTTTGATTATTTATCTCATCGTTTTCTTCAAGCTTGTAGGATACCAGTTTTCATTCCTCAGTCATAGGAATCCACATGCTCTACATTCTGAGATGATGACTTATTAATGTGGAATGGAGTTAGCAAATTCCTTTCATCTTACAAATATGGGACAAAATTTCAAAAACCGACTTGTTCGCCAAAAAATTCTAAAAAAGGACCCGTTTCAGATTTAATTTTAAAAACCGACTCAGTTCCAGCCTCATGGCTGAAACTGGGTCGGTTTTTGAAAAAAATGTTCCTAAACTTCACGGGAGTTGAAGTCCCGTGAAGTTTTTTACATAACAAAACTTCACAGGTCAAGTTTTGTTATGTAAAATACTTCATGGGACTTCAACTCTCGTGAAGTTTAGGAACTTTTTTTTCAAAAACCAACCTAAGGTTGAAACTGGAACTGGGTCGGTTTTTAAAATTAAATCTGAAACGGGTCTTTTTTTGAGAATAAGTTTCAAAACAGGTCGGTTTTGAAAATTTGTCCTACAAATATGCTCCAGAATGAATGATATAGTATATCTTGGTATTGAGGAACAAAATGGTGTACTCTATGTATCATATGGTTGTATCGCAAGTTAGTTCATATTTTCATGTCTATGCTTTTCAGTCTCCTTTATATAGAAAGACCAGTAGTCATTAGTTCTACCAATTATGCTGTGGAACCCCCATTTTATAACCTTGAAGTCCTTAGCCTATTACCACTTATGTTAATCAGTAGCAGAAAATGATTAACACCTTTTCATCTACTCATCTAGCTCTGCAAGTCTCATGTAATAGTTCGTGATAAATTTCGTTACAATCATGGAGTTTTTAGATATTATAGTAACCTGATTACTCTAAAAATGTGAGATTTTATGCTTTTTGCTGACCTACCTTTCCCTATATTCCATAACACACGATTAAACATGCACACCATCCTATGAATCTTAAGAACTGTGTGTTTCTGACGCAAGACTTGTGATATTGATTGCACTGACCAATAATGAGTGTACTTTATAAAGCCTTGCTTTGCCGTGTACTTTCAGGTACATTTTGTTTGTCAAGGTACCTGATCTCACACATGAATTTTACCTGATCTACACATGAATATTACCTGGCGATTCATCAGAATAAACGACAAAAGGTTTACTAGATTGGAATAAAACTGGAACATGAAAGATTTGACGTAGGAAATTGCATCTGTTGAGGCACAGAAAGAAAATGGCAAGCTTAAATGCAAAGTTGCAAACCAAACCGCTGTATTCAGGAAAGGTTATAACTAAACCAATTTTAAAAAGGATGTAGTTGAGGTATTGTCAGGGTCAGAAACAAGTTGTATTCATATTTCTATTCATTAAAAATCTCTGAATCCTACAATTTTCTTCTCCGAATTTATCCAAATTCGAATAAGAATGTCCTGTGGATATTAATTGAATATGTTTTAATATTAATTTGATATTACTTGATTAAGAAGTTATCATTATTTGGTTCAAGAGATACTTTTGTTTGATTTACGAATTTAATTCTTTTAATTGAATTTGAATTCATCAGTGGAAATTATTCCTTTATAATGATGATGTCTTAAGATTGATGGAAACACATTTCCAGAACATGGATTCTTAATCATTATTTATGAAAAAATTGTGCTCTGTATATGCATTTCTAATTTATCTAACAATGCAGATATTCTACTATGCACCGAAAATGTTGGAGAGTTGGAAAGGACAGAAGCTTCTATCAAGAGCAGAGTTCCATGCCGGAGCACATATTACAAAATTTTTAAGGTTGCAAATGCTACCAACATCCTCTGACCGAGCAAGTGGAGCACCAGGGTCTGATAAGACCAACCGTTTTGCCCTTTTATTTGGTACTCTAGATGGGAGTATTGGTTGTGTTGCACCACTAGAGGAGCTCACTTTCCGCAGACTTCAGACCTTACAAAAGAGATTAGTAGATGCTGTTCCTCATGTGTGTGGATTGAACCCTAGATCATTCCGACAATTTCACTCAAATGGAAAGGCACATCGTCCTGGCCCTGATAACATGGTCGATTTTGAGCTTCTCTCCCAGTAAGTATACCTCTCCATATCTACCATGATCCTTGCCTGATAGAATATAGTCCTTTTCTGGATGGAGAGTTTTGGTAAGTTTTTTATATGTTAGTACTGTTTCTTTAAGTGTTCTCAAGTATCTATTTCTGTTAAAGTTGAAATTTAAAAGCTGTTAAGTGAATTTTCAATTAGGCTTTTTCACCGACATAACTGTCAAATCTATACTATTTCTAAATTTACAGTAGAATTCTTCATATCTTCCATTTTCCCTTCCAAATTCATTACTTTACTTCTCAATTCATATTTCTGTTAGTTTTCTCATAGAAGTAGGGTGAAAATTCTACTTTTTCCCTTGTCTCTACCAGACTACCGATCTTACCAATCCAGCTAAAAGTAAAAGCCTTGGGAGCGACTGACAACTAGAATTAGATGCCACCTTGGCCACTGGCGACTTGCCTCCCCTCTTTTCCTCTCACCTGAGATAGAGGTACTAATTTGTGGGTTAACTGTAAGTATTCTAGGTAGTCTAGTCATATTTTACGAAATAACAGAATACGAAGGAATGTGAAATATATAAACAAGAGCTGTTCATAGTCCATGTGACAGATTGTCTAGAGTGTTCCTGTTTCCATGTATGACTGTCGATTATCCTACTACTTTTTCTAAACATCCTTTTTTGCAACCGTCAGAAAAGGTGTTGTTAGGAAAAAAAAATGGACACAACTTTCTCTCTTTTTATTTATTATTTATTTTTATTCTTTGTCGGTCCCTCAAAAAGCTGTGTGTTTCTCAAGAGTCTTTGACTTTGATGTTCTGTGCATGTAAATTTTTCTTTTTTAGAGGATGCTTGTTAGCAGAAGTGGTGTTTTTTTAATATCCAGGATTTTTCCTCCCTTCAATCTAACCTGCCATCATTTTCTTGCAACTTTCAGTTATGAATTGTTGCCTCTGGAGGAACAACTGGAAATAGCGCATCAAATCGGGACTACCCGTTCACAGATTCTTTCCAATTTAAATGATCTTTCCCTGGGAACAAGCTTTTTGTAGAGACAACGATGATAATTGTTCTCAATGAGATGGGTGCCTGGTGTCTTTGGGACAAATCCACATGTTCAACCGTTCATCTGCTGGTGATCTACCCAATGTCCTTCCTGGTTTATGCTTTCATGTCATGTCATGTGGCTGCTGACTGTTTACGCTAATTTGGAGGTGGATGAATCTGTTTTCCATTCGTTGCCTCTACCCTAATGTCATCGAAACTAAGCAAAAGAATTCGACAATGCGAAGGGTCTAATTTATGTAAACCAATTTGTAGGGTTATGGGATGACTTGAATTCGTCTGAACGTGCAATTGGAGAACGAAGCTCTCATGTTGAGGGTTTTGGGATGACTTGAATTCGTCTGAGTGCAATTGGAGAACGAAGCTCTCGTGTTGTAATTTAACTTGTATTCATGCATGCCAACAGTCGTCTATATAAGTTTTTCGGTTCAGGAATTTTAATGACTGTGTCCTAGTGTTCTTAGTTTTAATTTGGATGGGATGTTCTGATGTTCCAAACCCATCAGCATCATCATCTTGAGAGTTATTCTTAGTGACGGAAGGAAGCGTTCATAACATGTGCATTTAGTTGATCGTTCACCATGTATCTTTACGTGACAGCTCGGCCGGATTGTTTTTGCTGCTTGATGACAATTGACATGTACTTTCACTTTTTAGTTCTCCTTAATGTAATATTGATAGCGTGCATATATTTGTAGCGTGAACTTCTGAACAATTAAGAATGTAAATTGGGCTGTTACCAAAATTGGACTAGTGTTTGGCGCTGGTTGATCAATCGATCAGCATGTAGTATAACGTTTGTTTACTCTTATTGCTACTAAATCTATTGGTTAACTTGACGGGTATGAAGTTTCTTGATTAAAAGGACACTTTGTGGAACCATTTGAGAACACTAGATCATTTGCATTTTGCAAAAATGTAATCTGAATGAATATTACAAATTTTATTGGCACCACTATCTCCTATTCCAGGAAGGTACTTATATTATTTAATATACGATTGGTTATGAGTTGCCTTATATACACTATTGTTTCATCTTTTCACTTGTTTGCGTTCCCTAGAAATATTAGAGAAGAAAGAGAGAATTAAGCGTTGCCTTTCACTGTTACTACAAGTTTGAGCCAACCAAACACTAAATGTTGATGCCAAAGCTTGGGATAAGAAAGAACCTTCAGAGAGTGGAAATGAACTTTGTGGGGGACACGATGCTGACCAGATTAACTTTGTGAATAGCAAAGGAGAGGCTTTCTTTTCTCTAAAATTAGACGAAGTGATCAACGGAATCTGAGTAATCTCTGCACAAAGGTCTGCATCAACTATCAAGGAAGAGAGGGACATCAAGTGGAGGCGATCATACTAGGCCACAAATATGAGCCAACCCACCCCAGCTAGTTTGAGCTTTGACTTCAGAAAGTCAAAAGCAAGAGAGAGAGAGAGAGAGAGAGAGAGAGAGAGAGAGAGATGAGGTTCTTCTCCATAGGCCTTTGAGACATCTGCTGATGTCAAACCAAACTCAATGTGGTGGTGTTGAGGCGCTTAATCTTTTAGCCATTGTGCCAGGTGGAATTCCATTTGACTTCAGTCAACCCTCCTCATTCTCTAAAGAAGCTAGGCTTTTCTTCGCTCGGCATATTCTTAAAGTGACATCAACACCTAAAGTGGATATAATGCAGATATCTACGAAGCATACTGAAAAATGATGAGTAGATTTTCTTTTTTGCAAATCAAACTCAGAGAATAACACTTGTATATATCCAGACTTTGTGCTTGCGCACAGGGTTATGTAGCCTGCAGTAGTGTGATGACTTTGAATTTATTCTAGTTTCTTTTTAACACCTTTTATGCTCCTTAAGATTGCATGAGGAAATTCTCACTCCCTAGACGAAAGATCATTTCTAAATCTACTCGCCGTGCCCCCGAGTAGATTTATGAGCTTGAGACCAATATTGAGTCTTCGATTAATTTTTTTTTCCAGAGGAAAAATCCTATACATGATGCAAAATATCATATGGAGAGGAAGAAAATATCTCAGCGCATATAAACCTTAAAGGTCAGCATTAGGTTGAAAATAGATGGTTTAATTATAACTTAGTTTTTGCCAAACAGAATTTTGGCGCTTAACTATGTTAGTTCCACATGTTTAGTTAGTGGAAGAGTTGTCAAACAGACCGTAAAGATGGTGGTTGTAACGATTTAGTTTTTATATTTTTATTAGAACACATTTCATGAACTTACTAATAATTTTAAAGGCCTGTTTGGCAACACTTTAAAAGTGGACTACGGATAGAATCTAAACTAGTTTTGAGTGTTTGTTCTGTTTGGCAAAAAACTTGGGCATTGTTGACCAGTTTTTGTAAGCTAAAAAAGACCCCATAAACAAGTTTTATTGTGGACTAGAGGGGAGCTGGTCCACAACTGAACTGGTAACCGGTTCTCACTAGAACAAGTTCTAAAGCCCAGTTTCTCTCAGTTGCTAAATACACACTAAAAGTTGTGTTGCGAAGTTTATCATAAACTTCTTTTGTTTTATAGATCGTCTATAAAGTAGTTTGTATATGTATTTCTCCTTCCAAAGACGGAGGTTGACTTGAAGTCGATCTCTTTCTGGCTTTTCAAGATACTCACAAGCACAATAAATACGTAAAAAATGTTGCTGTTGACAGCAGGGGACAGCTTACACTACCCACAATCTTGTTGTGAAAACCCAAATGAGAAGATACTGCAATCTTGCATGTTCCAAATTTTTGAACACTATGGAGAGTCAAAGCGCGCATTATATATATAATATATATATAGTTATATATAGTATATATATATATAGAGAGAGAGAGAGAGAAGAGAGAGAGCAGAAAGAGAGAAAGAGAAATATGGGTATGCCTTGATACCAAGCACAAAAAGTTATGCTGTAGTGAAGATGCCTTAAATCCCCTCCACTCATTCAAATGTGGCGAACAAATTCACATGGGTAGTAGTGATGAGGATGTGACACATCACTATCAAACACAAAATTTATGCTTGGACCCAGCATACCCATATTTCTCATATATATAGTATAAGTATCATATAATATATATATATAGTATAATATATATGAGAATGAGTGGAGAATAATATGTCACATCACTACAGCCATACCCACACTCTCTCTCTCTCCTTCAATTAAGTGGATGTCTACCAAACTTTTAGCATGTTATAATATATATAGTATATACTATTAATATATTGATGAAACCTCATTCATGTCTTTCATGGATTTCCTAAGCAATCATCAATGCTAAAAAAGTTTGTAGTACAACTTTTGCTATCCACTTAAGTTGACACAAGTTTGCTCTATATATACTATGCTGTGGTGTGTGTGGTGTGTGTGTAGAAGAAGAGAGAGAGAGAGAGAGGAGAGAGTAGAGAAGAATGCGTATGCCTTGGTACAAGCCACAAAAAAGTTGTGCTTGTAGTGAGCGTGGCATAATCTCGTCGCTTCGTAATTCAAATGGTTACATAATCTCATTGTACTCCTCAAACCCATGTAAATGCTGATCCCTCATTTGAATTGAGTGGAATGATTGTGGCACTTCACTACGCACCACAAAATTTGCTTGTACCAAGGCATACCTTCTTTCTCTCTCTATCTCTCTCTCTTTATCTCTCTCTCTCTCTCTCTCGTCTATATACTATATACTATATATATATAATATATTATATATATAATATATATATATATATATATAATACCTTCATATTTGCATGATATCCTAGATATTTTTATGGATAGAAAATTTGAGTGGATGGAATTCTCATCTCTCTCTCAAATATATATATATATATATATAATATATATATATATATATATATATATATATATATATAATATATATACTAATATATATAATACACACATGCGCACACACACGGTGTGAACACCGTGCCAAAGCACGACATTTTTTTCGCAGACAGTAATCCTGATTTTTAACTGCTACAATAATTTTTGAATTGCTATGGTATCCGCTTCTGCTACAGTGTTCTAGTGTGCTACAATATATTTTTTTCAAAAAAAATATAGTATCCAGTTTCATGTTTGCCGCAGTAACAATGTTAAAGTAAATGCTATGTAACATTTATTATAGCATAAATAGTAAATTTTGGTTCTCCCATATTGTAATAGAGATATATATATATATATATATATATATATATAGAGTATATATATAACCTATATATATATAATTAGTTTATTATTATAATATATATATATAATTTTTATTTTATTTATTTATTTTGAGTCAAAGCTTTTATCGTTCTTAAACCAAAATCATTGCCCTTGAATCAGTGCCCACTCAATTCACTCGAAAACCCAGCTGCTTTTTAGTGGATTGGCCAGAAGAAAGGAGGCGTTGAACTGATGTGCAAATTTCAGAGATAGAGTCAATAAAAGCCCGGTGCACGTAAACTCACAGGGATGGTGTATCTTTGAGAACATGTACTGCGCACTTTCATATCCCTAAAATATCTTTAGCAGGTCCACCAAATCCCTCCACAATCATAATCTTGCTTCTAACTTGTTAGCAAGTGTGCAATAACAACAATCAAGTCTTTATCCTAAATGTTTGGAGTCAGCTACATGAATTCTATTTTTTCATTTCATCCTGTTACGGGTTATCTCCTTTGTTAAGTTAGTATTAAGCATATCCTTCTCAATTGTTTCTAAGCACGCCATTCTAGGTCGACCTCTAGATTTTCTAGCCACATTAACTTTAATATTATCATTTTTCCTAATCGGTACACTAAGGGGTTTCTAAACCATCTTAATTTATTCTCTTATATTTTATCTTTAATAGGCGCAATATCTAATTGACTACGGATGCACTCATTTCTTATCATATCTTTTAATGTATACTCATAAAACCATCACAACATTCACATTTCTGCTACACTTATTTTTTGAACATGTTATTTTTTAACTGCCCAACATTCTGAACCATAAAGCATAATGGATCTTATAACCATTCTATAGAATTTAACTTTAGTTTCATTGGTGTTCTACGATCACATAAGACTCCCGAAGCACTCCTCCATTTCAACCATCCCGATGTGATTCGATGCACCACATCACCCTCTATCTCACCATCATGTCTAATGATAGATCCTAAATAGTAAAAATGATTAGTTTTAGGTATTTCTTAGCCATCAATATATACCATAGGCTCTCTTTCTTTCCTAATTTTACTAAAAGTACATTCTATATATTCTGTTTTTATTCTACTAATTCTAAAACCATTAGACTCAAGAGCTTGTCTTTATCTTTCTACTTTAGAAATATAAGCAATAAAAATTACCTTAATTCCTAGCAAAGAAGCTCAAAACTGACAAAAAACATTAATATCTCTCAAACAGTAAGGAATTTGGCGAAATGGACAGGAGCAAACCGAACCCTTTGGGGTAGGTTTTGATTGGCTCCTTCTCATCGAGATAGTTGATTTTCATATATAATTCGTCCAATTCCGACTTACGGTTTGAAAGTTATGACACGTCCTTCGCAGCATGTTATGAAGCCCACCTGTAAGACTGGACTTCGCCTGAACATTGAAGTTCGCCTACAATGCTAAGTTCGCCTGACAACTTAGCTCACCTAAACTGATTGAAGCTCGCCTGACAGCTTCGCCTACGAGGTTCGCCATGCAGCGAAGCTCGACATCAGAAGAGGAGGTTCGTCATGCAGCGAGGCTCAACTTCAAAAGACGAGGTTCGTCACGCAGCGAGGCTCGACATCAAAAGACAAGGTTCGCTGCATCGCAAAGCTCGACATTAAAG